AATAAGAAACTAAAGCTGCCAGTAGGTTGTGCAGAATTGTGCAGAAATTATTTTAGATATGGTAAAATGTGTTTAATAGAGTGCAAATTAACCTAAATATTTATGAGGTGGGCCACATCCCATGGCCTGGGACAATATTCAGTTGTCATTTCACAGTCAATGGCTCTGTCTTGGTGTTTTTGATGTTTTATCTTGGAATGCCAAAGATTTTCTGGAAATTTCTTTTGGAATTTCAAATGAAATGTAACATAGGCCATAATCATGAGATAAATCAGAGACATATTCATGTTTGGAGATCTAGGTACAGCACTATAAAGTTCACGCTGTTAAGAGACATCCAATCCCTGATTAAATAGACGAATGTACATGAAAGCTTGACATGCTCTCTGACTCCCGAAAAGCATTTGTGATTTGCGTTTTAACATTGAACAGCAAACAGAGAAACCTTATTGTAACTTCAGCTGTTTTACCATAAGATTAGACAACAGCACCAAAGACAACGTAGTTTCTCACAAGAGAGGAGAGGCCTAAATTTACACTCGATGACAAATGGACCAGCTTTGTAAGCAGAAGTGTGTGATATAATGAATAAGTCTGACATTTGCGGGTCTCAGGTGGGATACCTGACAGTTTACTCATGTTTGGCGTGATTGAGGCTGTGTATAGAGGGGGGATTAGATCCAGGGTGCAGCTGCTGTTTGCTGGATTAGAGGATGTCTCTCCCCCTTACACTCACCCCACAGGAGACCTAACCTTAGGGCAGCTAGTCCGCCTCGATGCAGTCTGGAGTTTGTGTGGGATGGAATAGCCATCAGGCTAATTAGGATTGATCCACCATAGCAGAGGCATGGTTCAGTCTGTATACATGAGCATCTGCTGTGGGGACACTGTGATATGCTGGTGTAGGGAAGATTATGACTAGATCCTGCTTGGGAGGAGATAGATTTGTTGTTCTAATGACTGAGATAGTCTAGGGGATCTGGGTTGATGTTCAACACTTCACGTTCTATTATTGCTTGATTTTCAACACTTCATGTTCGATTATTGCTAGACAGTTGACACTTTTATTGAAAGGTTTTTAAAATGTCACTTAAAAGTAATTTTAATATAATTTCATATAATGGCACTACAGTTTTTATTCAAATAATATTATTTATTAAAATAATATTTATTAATAATTTTTATTTATCCAAATTCATTTGACTTAATTTATTTTGTGAAACACAAAAGGCAATGTTTAGTTCTGGATGAACTGTCCCTTTAAGAAGAACAGCGGCACCTCTATTTCTAATAGGTCTTTGTTGCAAATGATTGATTGTAACTCTTTAAGGTTGGAGGCTTTGTTCTTTAGCCATCACTCTGGGGCTTCTATTGAGTCAATATGTGGATGATCATGTCCACAGTTTGAACCGCTTTGCGCTCTGTAATATATGTTTACATAATTACAAACCACTGCATATATAATTATTTATATTAATATTAATAATTTCAAAATAATTATAATTATTATTATTTAGTTTATGTAAAATGTATATTATGTCCTCACACTTGAAACCCCTAATCTGTGTAACTGAGGTGAACAACAATGCAACAATGCAAATCAGCATGCAGACAAATAAAAGCGCTCATTTTTGCTTTACATGGCTCAGACATGTGTTTTTGAATTACCATGGCCCACCCTCATTCTACTCCATGCGGCACTGGCACACCACACACGGCTAAACCCATCAGACATGCTATTTCGGGAAGGCAGACGCCCATGTTACCAAGAAAGTGCATGAATATAAGTGGGCCTCAGAGCCTTGGAAGCTATAAGCATGAAAGAAGATTCATTCAGTGGTCGGGGGATAATAATCCATATGAGGTTTGGGGTGGGGTTTTTAGGAGGGTTAGAGGGGTCTCTGCCCCTCTGCCTGTCCGCAGTGCCTTCAGAATCCCACATTTGTTGAGATGATGATGATGGGAGAGAGCATGAACAGCCGAAGGGGAGAGATGAATAAAGACAAATCTTTGTTCTGGCCTAATAATGACTGTCAGCAAAACATCAGCAAATAGAGAGAGAGAGAGAGAGAGAGAGAGAGAGAGAGAGAGAGAGAGAGAGAAATGGGCTGAGGAGAATGATAAGAAGCCAGTGTTTTGAAAGAATAACTCAAATGAAAAGGAATATTAGGTCATAATTTTACTCACCCTCGTGTCTTTCCAAATCTGTATCAGTGTTGTTATTGTTACCTTCTTTTAAAACTATTAAAATTTGTTTTCAGTAATCGAAATTAAGCTGAAATAAAATATAAAAATTAGATGCAAAACATAAAATGAGAATGAAAAAAAAATATATAATCTAGTAAAAATGACAAAAGCAAAATTACCAAAACTAAAATAAAAATATAAAACTGAAAATATAAAATAAAAGCTAATTTCAAGCATAATAAATATTATAATAATATATAAATAAAAAACAACAACACTGATCTCTATGCTGTATTTTCTTTTAATTATTATTATGTTTATTTATGTATTTATTTTTTACATGTCACACAAAAATTTTAAGATTCTTCATACAGCTCTTTTCCGCACAACCAGAGTTCATAATGACTATGGATGTCAAGCTCAAAAAAGGACAAAAATACAGCCATAAATACCATGGTCCAAATTACTTGTGATCTATATTCCATGTTTCATAAAAAATAACAGTATATAGGTTTGAAATGACATGAGGTTGAGTATAAAATGACAGAATGTTAATTTTTGGTTGAACTATCCCTTTAATTAAACAAATGAGGCATTGTAAATTCCAGTTGAGTTAAAACCTGATTTTAATCATTGATGGTTCGGATCCAATATAGGATAAGAAGATTTGTTCATGGTTGGTCTAGGTATGCGCAAAGCTGACCTCATACGTCATCCGCCCGGAGCTGCTTCCGTGTACAACCGCTGGCGCAAGCTACATTAAAGGGAATATTACGTTTTGAATATGGATATCTTTCTTACAAAAACACGTCGATTCGCTAAAGGAGGCCTTTGTTCAACCCCCGGAGCCGTGTGAGACACTTTTTTTTATGGATGGGCGCTTTTTATTTAACTTCTTTTGGACTGATGCATGCAACACCCGCTGAGTGGCATTAAACAGCTTGAAAGATCAAAGACAATTTTAAAGATAACTTTGACTGGATTCGTCTGAAAGAAGAAAGTCATATACACCTAGGATGACTTGAGGGTGAGTAATTTATGGGCTAATTTTCATTTTTGGGTGAACTAACCCTTTAAGTAATCTTGATTAAACATTACTTACAGTTTTACGTTTTGGGCCCATAAATTCAAAACCTAAGTTTGTGTAAATTGTTTATCATTTCATACAAAAGTCCTTGTTGAGACTTAACAGAGGTTTAGATGTTAATGTTTTAGTGAAAAGTAAAAGTTTAGTAAAGTTTGATGTCATCGTGATCGAGATCAGTGTTTGCTTTAGTTGGGCTATTGAACCTTGATTTCTTAACTATTAGTTTTTCTCTGGCTGCTTTAACTTTGTCTTTCTAAAGCATATTCCATAAAGCAACAAATGCAAGAGCAAATATGATCAGATGATTTTGGTTACTTATTGTTGATGATACAGTGATTACTCGATTCAATTGAGGGTACAAGTTTACACAATCAGTTGAGTTGAGTCAACTTATTAGGGTTTTCTGTGTTGAATAAATGCCTCATTCACCTCCACTAGTGAACAGAGAGCTGTTTGGAGGACTTATTGCATTGTGAGGAGTCAGTAAGCGGAAGGAGTCAATATTGAGGCCATCTGAACACCAGCTTTTGTCATATTTCCAATCAAAGTTTCCTGTCTGCATTGCTCTGGTATTTCATATGGTCTGTGACAGTTGTGGTAAACTTGAGAATACTGAGGGAAGAGATTCTGTACAGCAGAAAAAAATGAGAAGAAGTAAAGATTAAAAAGATTGGAGATCCCTGCTTTGTAAAACTAACAAAGTGCAACAAACTATTTAACACACATCTATCTGTCTGTCTGTCCGTCTATCTGTCTATCCATCGATCTATCTACAGTTTTGATAAAGGAATGTAAATCCCACCTTACAGTTAAAAGCCTGAAATAATAGTCTTGTTTGTGATTTAAGCTGAAGAACAGTTTATAATGCTATTATTGTCAGATTTTATTTCGAGAGATGTACCTGCATGACTATAAATATTGTCCCAGGGTTGTTTCAAAAATGCTCGCCAAGTGGACTTACTTGCATTAGAAGAATCTTTGGTTTGATGTCAGCTTCATGACCAATGGTGTGAGTTTGGGGTGGGGCTGTGTGTTTGTGTTTGAGTGAATATCAGATTAAAGCCTCAATGGAGTGGGCAGTAGGAGTGTTTGGGAAAACCTGTTTGGAACTTATCATTATCTTTAACTGTTAAAATATAGAGAGATACAGTATTGTTGAAAAAGCCTTCATTGCCTTTCTGCAATGTCATTCTTTAGATTTGCACTCCGTTATAGCTTTATAGCATCTGAGCTGGTTCTGGAATATTCTGCTCACTCACTGGTTCAGGAATTTTTTACTTCTGCTCTTGCTTACAGTCTATCAGGCTGTTAATTATATTATCATCTCACTCTCACTCTCTCTCTCTCTCTCTCTCTCTCTCTCACGTGCGCGCACACACACACGATGCGCAAAACTCCGCATTTGCACAGTCAATAGCAAATACTTAAACTAATAACAAAACATACTTACAGTAGCTGATTCAGAAGCACCAGATTCACACACACACACACACACACACACACACACAGACAGACAGAGCCCTACCCCTCGCTCATTCCGCTCTCCCACTTGCTGGAAGGTGGTAGTATGAAAAGCGCATACTAAACTCACACATGTGCATCTCTGGCCATTGACGAGAATCATGTGTTGTAGATGTCGAGGTCACGTGACTGAAATGAGGCAACTCTGAGGACACCTTGAGCTCACCTGCCACATTTCTTTCCTTTTCTCTCTCTCTCTCTCCAGGACCATCTGTGTTTCTCTCTCTTCCTCTGTGCTACACGCCGAAGAACAGGATCCTACACGGAGATCTCATCAGGTAGGCTCTTTATCCTTTTTTCTTGCTTTTCTTTTTGTCTCACTCCTGTTCTCTGCCTCTCTGCTCACCGTGCTGCAGAGATGCTGCGTCATTGTGTGTAACGCTCTGGCACATAAGGTGTGTGAGAATCTGACAGGCTGATACGGGCAGTACTGGCATTCTGATTTCTTCTAACAGCCCTTCTAACAGCCCTCTTTTATGATGAATCATTTGTCTGTGCATTGTTTTCTGCCATTTTTGAGCATCTGTTTACCTGTTAGCTAGTTATGCTCTCAGAGCTCTACATGCTGGACACATTGAAGCAAGATATGTTTTATGTGTGTCATGTAATTGTGTGTGTGTTTGCTGGTCGGGATAACATGCTAGTTGGATTCAGCGTGACGTGATGATGCCTGTCTAGACGCCTGCCATTAGCATCACCAGAATGTCCAGGTACATAACGGTGATGGTGGCAGTGATTTAATGATGATGTGGGTCACTAGGGGTGGGTGATATAACAAAAATCATATATCACACTATGAGTAATTGTATATCATGATAACTGAGTATATATTAATGTATTCTGTACTTTTAGCTGAACATTAAAAAATATTTATTATATACTATTTGTGTGTGTATACACACAATTTCTATTTTCATTTAAAAAAATGTAATTAATGAATTAATTAAAATGTATTTTAATTCACACATATATAAATTACATATCATATTATACAAACCCAATTCCAAAAAAGTTGGGACACTGTACAAATTGTGAGTAAAAAAGGAATGGAATAATTTACAAATCTCATAAACTTATATTTGATTCACAATAGAATATAGATAACATATCAAATGTTGAAAGTGAGACATTTTGAAATGTCATGCCAAATATTGGCTCATTTTGAGTTTAAACATTTGATATGTCATCTATGTTGTATTCTGAATAAAATATTGAAATTTGAAACTTCCACATCATTGCATTCTGTTTTTATTCACAATTTGTACAGTGTCCCAACTTTTTTGGAATCGGGTTTGTATATAGTATATACATTTTCAAATTTAATACATTTATTTTAATTTATTTACATATATATTTGAATGTGTTTGTGTGTATGCAATTTCTATTTAATTTTTGTGCAGGTGTGGACATTTATATTTTAATAATTTTTCATATGACTTGTGCACTAATTATAATCGGATAATATTTCAGCTCGAGAGCTGCTTTCAACTCCGATATGGCATCTTTGGCACACATTGGATGCCAATAATAATTTCATTTCAGATTAGCTTTATATGAGAAATAGGCTGACATTTAATAATGGTTTGGACTTGGAGTATAGCGCATAAGCTGCATGGACTACATTTATGGTGCTTTTTCAGCCGTTGCATATACTGTCATGCCACCAAACTATATGGGGTACAGTGCAATGCATCTGTAGTTGTACTGGAGAGCTGGCTGATCTCAGAATCTCACTAGAGACCATTTTGTCACCGAAGTGGATGTTGACAGGAGAGTTCTTGTTTTATATTGTTGTTAAACTCCGTCTTTATTCGTTGCCCACCCCTTTACCAATCTTTGTGGTCATGACAGAAAGCATGTATCATATGCAACGTGACCTTTTCTCATCCATTTATCTGTGTCCCTCAGCACCCCACTGTGTCTGTGCCGAATAAGGTCAAGCAGGTGACTGTAGTCTTCATGCATCATGCCAGAAGGCCTGTGAAGCACAGGAAGAGTATTTCGTCTGCTGTCTGTCTCCTCTCCTGCAGTGCTGTAATGGCAGAAATTTGCCTGCCATCAGTGGCTGCATGCAGGAACCAACTGCTGTCCTCAGTGACACTGGCTGCTGCACTGAAGCACAGTCCCATCTGAAATTTAAGGGAAAATGCAGCAATTACATTTATCAATACATAAAATTAATAATATGAATAATTAATAATTGAATCAGTGATATAAGGATCTGACAGCATTTGAATAAAAAAAAACATTGGTGCAAAGAGACATTCTTAGAGATGTTAGTTTCTTGTAACACATTGTTCATGTTTTCTTTTGCCTATTGTCATTTGTAAATGCAGTAAAAATACACATTTTGAGTTTTGAGTCCCTGTTGGATATGAGTCCTGTGAAGAAAGAAACGCATGTGCTTGTTTCTTAATGGATTTATTTGTGCATCCTTGCTTTGCAATTTTTCCTTTTATTTTTTAAAATAACAGAAAAATTAAAACAGAAAATGAAATATTTACTCTAAACATTTATTCACCCTCATGTCATTCTAAACCCGAATCAGGTTTTAATCTTCCATGGTACACGCCAAGGTTATTATAGTCTTGAATTTTTAAATTCGTTTTTTTTAAATATCTTTTTCAAATTTGCTATAAAATTCAGTTGGGTTTTTATTAGTTTAATTCATATTTTTGTTAGTTTTAGTTTAGTTTTTATTTTGTGAACGCATTTTTATATAGTTTAGTTTCAGTTTTAGTTTTAATTAAAGTTTAGCAGAATTAACAGATCACTTCCAGAGCGGAGGCCAAAGAAAGACGTAGGCATAATTTAACCATATAGTGACACAAAATTAACGCATGCTGAGAATGATTAGATAGTAAAAGTATACAAATATATGCCAAAGAAAGCAGGCAAGCCTTTTTTTTACTAAATTAATCTACACAAGTCACGCTGATCATATCCAATGATGTGTGTTGAGATATTTAGTATGAAAATAAATGTAGCCTTATCAAAATGAAAGGATAATTCTGGTGGAAGAGTTAATGGGTATAGGAAATATTACCAGTGTTGGGGGTAACGCATTACAAGTAACGCGAGTTACGTAATTAGATTACTTTTTTCAAGTAACTAGTAAAGTAATGCATTACTTTTTAATTTACAAGAGAATATCTGAGTTACTTTTTCAAATAAGTAACGCAAGTTACTTTTTTTTCCAATTTATTGATTGACAAGTCTCCTGTCCCCATGTTGAGATAAATCTAAAGATATTACTGTAGTTTTAAAACAAATATGAATATGCATTAATTCATCTCACTCACTCACAAAAAAAAAAAAAAAACAGATTCAGTATTCCTCAAAATGAATAAAAATAATGCAACTCAGAATATGACGCAAACCTGCAATAATTAAATGTTAAACAACACAAATATCCTTTATGTATTTAATCCCATTCTATTAACCAATGTCTTTGCTTCTGACCTTCGATGATCCAGTTCAACCGTACTAATAAGCAAAAATTACTCTAGACAAACATTTGTGTGTCTTTTTTTATTGCTGAAGTGTGTTGAAATCTCTTCTTCTGCATTCTACTGTACGGACGTAAATGTACTTTCCCTTCAGACTGAGGGTTATTCATTTCACTTTTGGTGTGAAAAGGCTTTTATATTTGCCAAAAATAGAACTTTTTTATTTTAAAAACAAACAAGCAAGCCCTGTCCAGATTTAAAAAGCAACACGAAAGTAACGTAACGAATTACTTTCCATAAAAAGTAACTAAGTAACGTAATTAGTTACTTTTTTATGGAGTAACGCAATATTGTAATGCATTACTTTTAAAAGTAACTTTCCCCAACACTGACTGGGACTAATGAAATTCAATAATAACGGCAATCGCATTTAACAGTAAAGGCTTATATTTGAATGTTGTTTTCATTTATGAAGAATTATAAGTGTGTGTATGATGCACATTTGTTAAAAAGCCTGACAGAGTGATCACAAGATCAAGATGCTAGGCAAAAGTTTTGTGTTGTTTACCGAAAGGATGCTCGTTCTCATCTTTTTTTCTGTTAATTATCATGTTGCGTTGCATGTCTGTTTTTCTGCAAAGCACCAACTTAGAATGCCTAATGTTGGTTTGATTGCTTGTGTTACATGATAAAATAAATAATCTTGCTTACCTGATGTAATAGATTTAATGCGAGTGCGACTCGCGGTCTTTATGTCAAACGGTTCTGGTCTGGTATAGAATTAAATTAGAGCTGCTGTCAGATAATGGGTCGGGTGTTCTGTTAAGTACTGCTGGTGCATGTTTACCAAAGAGGACCCGTGCAGGTTTTAAACTGCTTTGCGTCTCTCCGTCAGATAACCCCATGAGCGTGTTGTGCCATTACAGGTAGGCAATTTCCCTAAACCTCCACACAACTCGTATATTTTTTCGCCAAGGGGTGAGAACGTAATGATTATGAAAACGATTATTTATTTTTGATAATTATTATATTATTTCAGTTAGTTTTTCAATAACTGTTGTTAGTAGGCCTGTCATGATAACAACTTTTTGTTGTGCGATATATTGCCCCAGAAATAATTGCGATAAGCGATATTATTGTAATTTTAAAGATTTTATGCCACGGAATATATAACCATAATGTAACAGCATAATAATGCAAGAAGGCCTACACACTTCCAAATGACAACAAACTTTTACTTTTTAAGAATATTTAGATTATGGAAATTAAGTATCAAAATATTAGATACCTTAAAAAACCTGAATAAACACTAAATAAACATTTTCTAACAAAACGTGCAAAGTAACAAGTAGAAAAGAAAAATGCACAAAGAACTTGTATGGAGATGTTTCCATCTACACTCTTAAAAGTAAAGGTGCTTCAAAAGGTTCTTCAAGCGATTCCATAGAAGAACCATTTGTTGGTTCCACAAAGAACCATTCAGTCAAAGGTTCTTTAAAGAACCATCTCTTTCTTACCTTTTTATAATCTGAAGAACCTTCTTTCGCCACAAAGAACCTTTTGTGAAACAGAAAGGTTCTTCAGATGTTAAAGGTTCTTTATGGAACCATTTAGACAAAAAGGTTCTTCTATGGCATCGTGAAGCACCTTTATTTTTAAGAGTGTACAGATTTTCCCCTGACCTTCTTTTCTCTGTAAATTAAGGGTCATTAATAGCAGTCAAATGTCCGTATTCACAAAGGCACAGATCCCTAAACAAGACCATATCTGCAGATGAAACTTTTTGTAGAAGCATTTTTTAAATTTGAACTAGCACCTCATGACTACAC